TGTACAGTTCAGACTTGTCCTGTTGAAGTGGCTCTCCTATAATGTACCAATTCATTTATGGAATGCCTGCTTGGTTTCTCCTATGTAAAGTCTGAGTACTCCTTACTACACTGCACAATGTGTGTTATGATATTCAATTTATTTATGAATGTTTTGTCCTTGGGAGGAGCCAGTTTACATACATAGAATGATAGATGGAACAATATTGTTGTCTGTTTCCCCTGGTTTTCTCTGCTTCCTTCACTCAGCACACAGGTGAAAGCCACTGTCCCTCTCTTCCCCATTTCGGTGCACCTGTCAACCAATCAGCATTTGACTTACCCATAGGCCATTAGCGTGCACCAACATGCAGTTGGGATTTAGAGGACTGCACAGGAGCATGTTTGCAGTGGATGAAAACCTTTCCATACACTGTCCAAACTGAGAACATATGGAGACAGAAACATTTGTGGAACCATAAATTACGTTTAAGGCAGAAGGGAACAAAAACAAATATACACATGTAAACAGCTGGAGCTTTGTTAAATCAGCGAAGATGCACAGGAAAAAAAATCTTCGCCAGTTTTTTTATGATGGATTATGCAGAAAAAGTAGAATTGGGCTGAAAGATCTATTACCTATTCAGGTTGTAAATCATGTTTTTAAAAAGTAACTAAGTAACTAATTACTTTTGAAAATAAATAATCAGTAAAGTAATGGGATTACTTTTGGGGGAAGAAATCAGTAATTAGTTACTGATTACTTTTTTCAAGTAACTTGACCAACACTGCTCATTAGTAACGAATTTGAAATCAAGATGACTGATGGCTTCCATGGGGATAAACTTTACTTCAGGAACCTGACATTTTCAGCTCTAAACAACGTATCACTCACTTGCAAACTCTCTTTCTCTCGTATGCACATACAGTCACATACAACACGGTTTCAATCTGCTTTGATTGCCTCTCTCCCACTAGTCTATTTGACTGGCCATCACTGTCTCTGCCTCGCCGTGTTGCATGTTTCCTTACAGAAGTAAGTGTCTCTTTTGCTTCATGTCTTCTTTCCCACTGGTACGGTGTACATTTTAGGACATCGTCAGGTATCAGACAAAAAATTGTCAGGTGTCAGTTGTCAAAAAAAAAATTGTCAGGTATCAGAAAAAAAATTGTCAGGTGTCAGAAAAAAAATTGTCAGGTGTCAGTTGTCAAAAAAAAAAAAGTCAGGTATCAGACAAAAAATTGTCAGGTGTCAGAAAAAAAATTGTCAGGTGTCAGAAAAAAAATTGTCAGGTGTCAGACAAAAAATTGTCAGGTGTCAGACAAAAAATTGTCAGGTGTCAGTTGTCAAAAAAAAAAAGTCAGGTATCAGAAAAAAAATTGTCAGGTGTCAGACAAAAAATTGTCAGGTGTCAGTTGTCAAAAAAAAAATTGTCAGGTGTCAGAAAAAAAGTTGTCAGGTGTCAGAAAAAAAATTGTCAGGTGTCAGAAAAAAAATTGTCAGGTGTCAGAAAAAAAGTTGTCAGGTGTCAGAAAAAAAATTGTCAGGTGTCAGAAAAAAAGTTGTCAGGTGTCAGAACACAAGGTACCAGAGAGAAAATCTTCCTGCAGGTGGCGCTGTTGTCATGTCCCACCCGAATTGATTTCCAAATACGTCATCAACGTGTGACCGTGGGAGAGCGTAAGGTCATTGACCTCACCGGAGTTTTACCGTGGTTCAGGCTCCTAACGACACAAGGTAAGTTTAACTTTTTCTCCCTTTTGTTCATATTTTTGCCACAGTTGTGTTATATTAAGTTGCAGTTATGTTGTGAAAGTTACATATCAGAGCAGTTTTGTACGAAACCAAATCAGTACTATTTTTGTCTGGCTAATTCATTCTAGCTAGCGACAGTGGTGAAACGTGATTCAAATTTAAACTGTTCAGTAATTGTTTTGTATACATTTCAGCAAATGGACAAGCTGAAAGCTTACGAGCAGTTGCATTTGAATACTAATCCTATTTGAAGTAATACATTTCCAGTGGTAGACATGTTAGATTGTCACACCTGGCTATGCATTGTTTTATTAATATTATATATTGTCTTGATAGCTTGAAGGGGATGATGCCGGTTTCATATCACTGGACTTATCCATGGCAGTAGAGTACATCCATGCACAGAGAATCATTCACCAGGATATAAAGCCAGCAAATGTCATGGTAAGCCATATTGTATTTTTCTTTTTCTCCACTTTGTTTTTGAAGATCAAAATAAAAATAGTATATTATTTATTTAACTTTATTCTCTTCAGTCTATTAAACACTACATTTGAACAATGAGAAACTTTTCTGGCATATTCATATAAAGGATTTTTTTTTTAAAGTAAGAAGCCTTACATTGTTTCTTTAATAGTCCAATTTTTCTTTAATATGTTGGTTCTTGCACACCTACAAAATTCCCAAACATGTTGTAAGTTTAGGCTTTACAAACTGAAAGTTTCTATTCTTTTATTAGTCTGTACCACTTGCTTAAGTGGAATGGGGATTAAAAAATGCACAGGACTATAAAACCGGGTTGGATCATTAACCAATCTGTTAATTTTAATGTTGGGTATAATAAACAATCTCAGAATAAATCTGCAGTGATTGGGTGATCTGGGTGCTAAAAGCTTTGAGGGTTTTTTTTTTCCCCAATTATGAGCTGTGGTCTTTGGAATGACATTTTTGATAACATTTGTGAAATTTTAGACAACCTGGTAAGTTCTCATATGTATACCTTATAGGTTCACCACCCTTCTAAGAAGGCAGTCCTGACAGACTGGGGCATGGCAAACATAAGAGACACTGTGATGCTTCGTCAAGGGAGTAAGTTCACTGCCCAGGCTACTGGTCCAGCTGGTGGCACATATCTTTACATGGCCCCTGAATGCATACTGATGTTTGAAGAGGCCTCGTTCCAGACAGACATGTGGTCCCTCGGAGCCACATATCTGGAGATCCTGACGGGTTCCGCTCCGTGGATGGTTAAAAAACAAAGAGAACTGGCTGCACTAATGGCCACCAAAACCCCACCACATGCCCTATCACATCTCAGTGACAAAAACAGTTTTCTTGGTGGTTTGGTGAGCTATGACCCAGACTCAAGGCCTTCCGCATCTGATGTTGTTAAGTTTCTCAAGTCAGGCCTTGATCTTACGAGCCGATATGGCTACAAGTGGTAATGTTGCTACAGTCTGCAGTTCAAAAGTCTTTCAATGTGAATTATGTTCTACATTATTGTTAACAAAAGTTGTGGTAAATGAAACACTGAATCATTATGAAAGATGGCACCTTGTCAATTGTATTTCAACATTTTATTGTACATTTTGTTGGTCAGACAGTTTTCAAATTACCTGTTGATTTTAAACAAGGATAAATAAATGTTAACAAACACTGTTGTATGATTTTATTGGTCATTGGAAATGTTTACTGGTGCACCTTCCATCCTCTCTCTCTTCAGAAAGATGTATATGTCATTTGCCTCGGCAAACGTAGAAAGTGTAGGAACTGCATTTCTGTTCATGGCAGTTGTGAGCTCTTGGACTAGCATGAGGTATGCAGCAAGGCAACCATCAGGTGTGCAGGGAAACTGGCTGTTTTCTAAAATGTTCTGGCACATGTCTCTGAATTCCTGGTTTGCTACCAGTGAAGGCTCTTCCCTCTCACAGATTAATTGCTTGGCATAGTCTAAAAGGTCTGGGTCAACAATGTGCAGCACATTGCCATATCCTGCGAATGAAAGACAATATTGAAAAGATGTTCACTTTGAATGTTAAAAATAAATGAATAATGACAAAGCTGTTCTAGAACCTGTATAAGAAGCAGTCAGTGTTTACAGATGTTATTACAGAAACTTAAAGATGGAAATATCACTCAAACATTTAGATAAATTTTTAGTTAAAGGTGTCAATATGAAGCCATTTTAGTATTGACAGTAGAAATTCAGAAATCTCTTATTGTACTACAAGTAGGCTTCTTCGGAAGACACAAAAGAGAAAGCACATTATAACAGTTTTACGCTCATTACACTGGCTTCCAGTATATTTTAGAAAATTCATTTTAAAATTTTAGTAATGACTTTCAATGCTCCGAATCGTGAAGCTCCTGCCTTAATTTCTGATCTTATAGAACCCCACGCTCCCTCTCCCAGCCTGTGATCATCTAATCAATGGCTGTTAGTAGTCCCACCAGAAGACCAGAGGCAAGAGATCTTCCAAAGCGGTGGCTCCCAGGTCATGGAATGCTCTGCCTCCATCATTACGTTTCCTTGATTGCATTTATTCTGTATGTTCGATTGTGCTGTTTTATGTTTATCTGTTTTATATTATTGTGAAGCCACTTTGTGGTTTTTATCCTGTGAAGAGTGCTATATCAAAGTAAAAGTAAACTAATGAAAGTTAAAAAACAAACAAAAAAATAAAACCCCACAGGCTTTCAAATGACATACCAGGAGGTGGTGAGGTAAACAGAAGGTCAGGTTTCCCAAATGGACCAGGTGCATTGCGTTGCTTGCGGATGTCATGTGTGTTCCAAACTGTTTGCTCCGTTTTTAAGTCTCTTTGAAGCAGTGGCAAGTGTGAGTACTGCAAGCAGTTGCTATGAAAAAGGAGAATTAAAAAATTAATATGTTCATCTGCTTCTTTGAGGTAGAATAAGTAAAAGCTAAATTTTAATCAGTACTCAAAAAACAAAGGCATTCCTAGACCACATACTTTCATACTGCTGCTTGATTATTTTTCATGTCTAAAAATATTGACTTACATGTGCACAGGATTGTCCAGTTCAAGGATCCCAGACTCCATCATGGCCTACGCATGTTGTTTTGAAAAAGACATAAGTTGTGAAGGTGAGAATTTCATTAGTGAAAAGGTACAGATGTACATAAACACAGATTCTGGCCTTGTGTTTTCAGATAAACTAATCCATCGTATGTTTAACGAAATTTGGATGGCTACTCTTTGTTAATAGGTTTTACAGGTGAAAGATTTGCTTTACCTCAAAAGTTGTCAGCCATTTCTTAATCCATGTCCGCTTTAAAATACTGTTGAAACATTCAGCTCTCTAAACAACAGAAACATGACATTATCAGTTTTGTTGTCAGGTTGTTACTTTAGAAATAGTCATTTACCAGCTTAAAGACATACCTGGTTGTGCACTGATGTCCCCATTCTGAAGCACCTCCATGCCTGATTCCCAAGATCTCGCATGTGAAATGCCATCTGCATTTGACCCACAACAAGGTTCTCCTTTCCTCTGTCCCCCCGAATCATTTGAGGACAGCCTAAAGACACAAACTGAAGATAATTAGTGAATGATGAAAAAATAAATTTATTAACAAAATGTAATCTTTTTTAACCCCCCATTTTTTAGTATATTGCATACCACCCTGTTCTTGAACAGCCTCAAACAAGTATCTGGCCACAAAGTTTTGCTTGCGGTTGGATGTGCCCACCTTTAGCCATAGAACCTTCCTGGAAAATCTGAAAAGAAAGAAACAGAAAAGTGGCCACTTGTACATATGATTTAATCATGTTTTGGCACTATGTTTGGGTTTTGTTACATTCCCCAAGAGTATGCTGGTTTTCCATTGTATTATGTCTAGGCGTTGTTTCTGGTTCCTCCGGCCATTTTGACTGCCATAGTTGTGTAGGCTTACATGCCTTTGGAATTGAATGTGACTCTTGACTGTGTTCAGACTGACGCGAGGGGAGAGCTGCCTTTTGTTTTGTAATCCCTTGTATTCTCCTGTTTATGTGTTGGTTAGGTAGGTTATCGTAAATTGTACATTTTATTTTCTTTGGAGTTAAATTCTGTTTACTTTATATCAGGGATGTTTTGTTTGTTGTGTTGGTCTTGGCCCTCCCTGAAATTAACTGCCAGTCTGAAATGGAACTTTAAGACTAGCAGGAAATAAGCCTTTTAAAAACCGCCATCTTGAATCCTCCTTCACTATTCATACTTTATCTTGGTCCCTTAGACCAGGCTTGGCCAAATCCAGACCTCGAGGGCCAGTGTCCTGCATGTTTTAGATATCACCCTGGGTAAACACACTTGAATAAAATGATTAGTTCATTACCAGGCCTCTGGAGAACTACAAAACATGTTGTGAGGGTAATTTAGCCATTTGAATCAGCTGTGGATCAAGGACACATCTAAAACCTGCAGGACACCGGCCCTCGAGGCCTGGACTTGCCCATCCCTGCCCTAGACTACTCAGGAGAGATAACACCTCAGTTTACCGCACATCCTTATCTTGAAGCAACTTTGTACTATCACTGAATATAATAAATTAAGTAGCGAATGCCATATTCAAACCTACCCATCAATCCCCAAATGTATCCACATTCCAAAGAACTTCAGTTTATCATTGCCTATATGAAACAACAAATAATAATTACAATTTGTTTCAACAGAAGTACCATCAAAACATGTTTGGAAGGTTAATTGAAAAGATAAAATAAATACCATCAATGTGCCGTGTGTCATTTGGACCACGGCTGATGTAATTCCGACAGGGAATTTTCTTCTTTCCAGGAGATCTCCTCTGAAGACCACTTGCATCCATATACCTCATTATATTAGCAACATCGTCTCTACAGTAACAATAGATTTTACTCTGAGCTCAACAGTAAAACAAGAGAACACTTGATCATATACACACTATTTAACCAACCTGTAACAAGGCCGCACTCCTCTGACATCCCTTACCCGCTTTACCATTGCCCTGATTCCTTGTTCAGGAGACCACTGTTTCATCTCACTCTAAAAAACAAACAAACAGACAATTGAATGTTTTTTTTTTTTAAATCACTACAGAAAATAACATTTATTGTTTCTACAATAGCTCATGACACAGACTTCAGGAAAATATATATTTTTTGCACTGATGTTTTAACGCTTACCTCCACAGCTTTGTGGATTTCAGTAAAAGGTCGTTGGGGGCATCTTCGCTTCAACCCTAGAAGTTTTAAAACTCGTCTCAGATGCCTCTCACTGTTAAAAGACAACACAGACTTACATTATATTAAATGCAAACTGCATGTTTTGTCATTTTAGAGAGTTGTCACGGAAACTGTTGAAATGCAGACTTACCTTATTTTATGCCCATATGAATTCAGTGCACAGCTGATTTCCTTTTGTTTTAAGCCTTTGTTGAACAATGTTATTATCATCATATCTTGAAAGGTTAAGTGTAACAACAACAGTCTAATTGATCACCCACCTCTTACACTGAACATAAGTAATTAACCAGTAAAGTACTAAATCTTTTTATGTGGCAATTACACTAAAAGCATCGTCTATTCAGTGCCCACAAATAAAACATGCGTAGCAAAAAATACACTTCTTTGATATGAAAGAGGTGAACAGTAGTTAATAAATAAGTTGTACTTTAGTCATTTATTTTTAATGCTCTTTTTTTAATAAAAAAAAAAAAGTATTTTTGGTACAGTCATGGGAACCAGCCAGAGTCGGATACTCCTTTCATCATCGTCAGATGACATATTGCAGCAAAGTCTAAAAACAACAACAGAAAAAAACATATCGGGATCAAAAAATATCCCGACAGTAGCAATATAGAAAAGAGAAATAAAGAAAAAGAGCGACAGAAAGGATGCCGGCTGCTCGTGAGCTTTCAGCTTGTCCATTTGCTGAAATGTATACAAAACAATTACTGAACAGTTTAAATTTGAATCACGTTTCACCACTGTCGCTAGCTAGAATGAATTAGCCAGACAAAAATAGTACTGATTTGGTTTCGTACAAAACTGGCTTTCCGTCTCTGATATATAACTTTCACAACATAACTGCAACTTAATATAACACAACTGTGGCAAAAATATGAACAAAAGGGAGAAAAAGTTAAACTTACCTTGTGTCGTTAGGAGCCTGAACCACGGTAAAACTCCGGTGAGGTCAATGACCTTACGCTCTCCCACGGTCACACGTAGATGACATATTTGGAAATCAATTCGGGTGGGACATGACAACAGCGCCACCTGCAGGAAGATTTTCTCTCTGGTACCTTGTGTTCTGACACCTGACAATTTTTTTTCTGACACCTGACAACTTTTTTGTCTGACACCTGACAATTTTTTTTCTGACACCTGACAACTTTTTTGTCTGACACCTGACAATTTTTTTTCTGATACCTGACATTTTTTTTTCTGACACCTGACAATTTTTTTTCTCACACCTGACAATTTTTTTTCTGACACCTGACAATTTTTTTTCTGACACCTGACAATTTTTTTTCTGACACCTGACAATTTTTTTTCTGACACCTGACAACTTTTTTGTCTGACACCTGACAATTTTTTTTCAGATACCTGACATTTTTTTTTCTGACACCTGACAATTTTTTTTCTGATACCTGACTTTTTTTTTTTTTTTTGACAACTGACACCTGACAATTTTTTTTCTGATACCTGACTTTTTTTTTTGACAACTGACACCTGACAATTTTTTTTCTGATACCTGACTTTTTTTTTTTGACAACTGACACCTGACAATTTTTTTTCTGACACCTGACAATTTTTTTTCTGATACCTGACAATTTTTTTTTTGACAACTGACACCTGACAATTTTTTGTCTGATACCTGACAATTTTTTTTTTGACAACTGACACCTGACAATTTTTTTTCTGATACCTGACTTTTTTTTTTTTTGACAACTGACAACTGACAATTTTTTGTCTGATACCTGACGATGTCCTAAAATGTACACCGTACACTTGACCTTCTCTGCACTCCAATTAGGTTTGTCACTCAACTACTGTGAGTGGGATTAGGGGAAAGACAGAACAGGCAGAGGGAGGTGAGGAGAGAAGGGGGAGTCAGAGAGAGATAGAGGGAGAGTTAGAGAGAGAGGTGGGTTGGAGAAGCTTTTAAAAATATATAGAGAAAACACAAATTTGAGTCAGGGCAACAGAGAAGGAGAAGGAGAGAAAAGGGAAAAGAGAGGCAGAAAATAATAGTGAGTGCAAGCAAGGGGCTACAAGCGAACAGCTGGATTTGGCCTGGAGGACTTCTGAATAATGTGGTTCCATTAAAGCAGGATTCATAAACTCACTACCCTCCCTTCTCCTCCCCTCACCTCTCTGCCTATTTTCTCTGTTTTATCCCTTTACTCTAATATTCCCATAACATACATAGGCGATGGTTTTGCATTTTGTCTTCAGCAGATTTATTGCTAGTCAAACCACACTTGGGCAATAATCCACAATGCTGTCTTATACCCTAGCTATTAGCAATGTATAGTAAAAAAAGGACAAAAGGGTAAATGTTTCCTATGAAGATGTACAGTTCTGCTGGCTTTGGGCAGCCCTAGGTACAGTAATACTGCATGAATATTTGATATCTCAGATGTTGTGCGTATATCACTGTATGTTGATAATGTCGTTGTTACTAAGACCAGGGAGCAACAGAAAATCAGTAGGAAGAAGTATGCTGGTAGTTGTCAGACTGTTTGAATTCATGCTGCTAACCCAGTGCTGAACTTTGACCTGGTCGCAATGCACAGCTGCTCACTTTAGTAGAGAAATACTTTATTTAAAAGAAATCAGAGCACTGACATGCAATAGCTCTACATTTAACAGGTCTGGAGATTACAATGGTTTATATGAAGCATGCATTTAAGTATGCTATGCATACACCAACAGTGCACCATAAACACTATAAAGGAATAAAATCACAATAACTTTAAAAAACAACAACAACAAAAAAAACAGAACCTCGGTGGTGTACTTAAAGAAGTCCTTTGGTCTCAATGGTAACACCTACTGTCATGGCCAAAAATTAACATACATTCATCATGGGCATAGATGTCATGATAATTTTAGGGTTTTATTTATTTAAAAAAATATTTTCAATGGTGAAAGCCCAAAATTGCATGAGATTTATGCCCATGATGACTGTATGTAAACATCTAACCACAACTGTATAAACTTGCATATTCTCAAAGACACAGGTAAAATGCAAAGTTTTAAACATGTTGTGGAGGTATAGTACAGACGACACAGGAGCTGTAACTTTCCATTCCGACTTTATTCACCTCCAAACTACACCTGGACACATGGCGCCAAAAAACAGCAGAACCCCTCCTCTTGACCTGGGTGTGAGTGGAGTCCCCTAGTGGGCCACCACAATGTAACCATGCAAACATTTACCAAGAATCAGCAAACACAGATTTCAAGGCTGATGGGAATTTTATTCATCTTGTGAGTATTTTGTTAGAATTAAAATTAGTGACGTTTTTTTTTCTTTGAGACATTTGCCTTTTATTTGATGGTGCAGCAGTGAAGAGTGGGCAAAGAGAAACGGAAAACATGCAGCAGAATGCCATAGGTAAATATTGAACGTGGCATTGCATTTCAGCCAAATGGAATATGGTTACCTGCTCAAC